TCCTCTGGTCTAGCCAGACTTGCAAGGTCGAATTCGAGTATGGTATGAAATTTTAACATGTGAAATCACTTAACTAAAAATGAGAACCAGAAATCCAGTAGGTCATACAAGTACTCCTATAGCGTGACATTTCATAAACAGGACTGGATATAAGGTAATTAACTAATTGTGGAAAACATGCTGATAATTGCTGTATGTAATGGATGGGAAGTCAATACAATGAACATGGCACTGGAACACAGAGCTGGCTGAAGAGAGGGGCCGCTTGCTCAGCTTCTTGGCACATTTTTGTTTATCCTGGCATTCTTTTATTCTTTTGTTTATTCTTGGAGGCTGTTACCTGGGATAGTCTCAAAAATGCAAGATTAAGCCAAAGGTTAAGAAAGAAGAGATTATGGTGAATGTATAGACAGAAAGACAAAGAAGCAACATTGAAGTTCTGATTTCTTATTCTGTTGATCCATTTCTTTGTTTGTTTGCGCATTCTTTTAAAAAATATTGGGGATTAACTATGTGCTCGGCACTGGGCAGGACATTGGATAAGTAATGATGAGCCAATACAAATATGATCTCCACCCTCAGGGAGTTTACAGGCAAATGGAAGCCACACAACATTAAATGATGTCATAAACGTACACAAAACAGTGACTGTGTTAATACCTGGTGGAGAAGCCAAAAGACAATTTACCTGGATTTGACTGAAAGGGGAAAAGTCTCTTGAGGAAATTATATCTGAAGAAGGAAAATCGTTCCTTTTGTATGCTATGTGAATTATATGCCAATAAGACTATTTAAAAACATTGCTGACAGAAGGAGGAGTGTATATACAAAAGAAGGGCCATGATTCACATAAGGAAGTAAGAGGAACTCAGTATGCCTTGGGCAGAGGGACAGAGAGACAGACAACAAGGAAGAGTATGGCTTAAGGCCTTCCAGATGGGAATGGTTTGGCCTTTAGCCTGACCACAATGTGAAGCTGTAATATTTTAAGCAAAGAGAAGACAAAGACCACACAGTAGAGATGTCAAGACAGATACGGCCAGACCAGTCAGGAGTCTCATACACAGTGTTGAAATGTAGACGGAAAAAGCATTCAAGAGTTATAAGCAAGTCCTTTCACCTCCAGTTAAACGCCTGTTTCATAATGCAACCTTTAATACTGACAAGTTCTGGGGAGGAGAGGAGCCAGTCAGGGTGCAGTGTAGCAATGATGAAGCATACAACTTTCCTCTAACTCTTAAATGCTTCCTCCCCACCACTATCATGATCCCAATTCTACCTTACAAATCCAAGTGAGTGAGTGAGGCAGTGAGAGTGAGTCAGTGAGTCAGTGAGTCAGTGAGGCAGTGAGAGTGAGTCAGTGAGTGAGTGAGGCAGTGAGTGAGACAGTGAGTGAGTCAAGACTCCACATTTAACTAAGCAAAATATGAGAGGAAATACACACAGGATCTGTGGCTGAAGAGAGGCAGCGCTGAATAAGATCCTCAAAGGTGGTCTTTAGAATGAGGTGCTCCTCTGGAATGGGTTTCTTGGTAATTTTCTCTGTTGGCAAAGATTGTACATGCTGGAAGAAATAAGAGCATCATAAAATCAGAAATGACAAGATACAACCTATACATAAAAGCTCTCAAAGTATGTGATTAAACAGAAACTAAATGACTGACAGATGGACTATTCAAAACCCTATGGAAATTTTTTTCTTTTTTTTTTTCTAAACATTTTATTAGGGGCTCATACAACTGTTATCGCAATCCATACACACATCAATTGTGTAA